GCGGCGACGTGCGTCCACGGCAACGGGCCCGGCTGCGCTCAATGCGCCGGTGCCCGCGCGCCGTGCCGCGAGGCGACGAACGCGGCGGCGCACAAGCGCCCCGCGACGCGGAGCCCCGCGGAGAAGCAGCCCGCGAAGCGGCCCGTCGCCAAGGCGCGGCCCGCGGCGTCGAGCAAGGCGAAGCGCAAGTTCGCGGCGCCGCGGCGCGTCGCGCCGCCGGAGCCGCCGGGCGCGCGCCGGAGCCGCGCCGCGGCCTTCGTCTCGCCCTTGCTCCGGGACCTCTGGAGCCACCTCCAGGGCGCCATGGAGAAGGACGCGAAGCCGAGAAAGAAGCGCTCCAAGTCGCCGCCGAAGCGGCCCGAGGGGCAGAAGACCATCGGCAGCTTCTTCGCGAAGAAGCCGCCGCCGCCGCCGGGGGACCCGTCGTCCCAGGACGACTGGTTCTAAGCTGGTTTAAAAGTACGCCGCTAGCAGCCTGATGGCGTTCTCGTTGCCCTTGGCGGCGAGCGCGCGAATATAGTCCTCTGACGCTTTGATCTTGGCGACCAGAGAGACGGCTCCCCATCTCCCTTGGCGGCCGCGCGCTCGTACCAGCGCATTGCTTCGAGAGGGTCTTGAGCCACGCCTTGGCCGCTGACGTAAGCATCACCCAGGACTAATTGTTCTAAGCTGGTTTAAAAGTACGCCGCTAGCAGCCTGATGGCGTTCTCGTTGCCCTTGGCGGCGAGCCCGCGAATATGGTCCTCAGACGCTTTGACCTTGGCGACCATAGTGACGGCTCCCCACTCTCCCTTGGCGGCCGCGCGTCCCAACCAGCCCATTGCTTCGACAGGGTCTTCACCTACGCCTTGGCCGTTGATGTAAGCATCACCGAGCGCTCGCTCGCCCTGAGTGAATCCTTGTTCGGCGCTGAGCTTGAAGTAGTGGAACGCCTCGTCAAATTTCCCGGAGTCACGAAGCATGCATCCGACCATCATCTGCGCCTGCGGGTGTCCCCGGTCCGCTGCCATGCGAAACAGCTGAATCGATTTTTTCCTGTCCAGCTTGACGCCTGCTCCATCCCGGTACAAGCCTGCAAGGAGCGCCATTGAGTCCATTCCACCGAGCTCCACGCCGCGCTTGGCAATTTTCGCTGCTTTTTTGGAACTTTTCACGATACGATATTCAGGCGCACCGTCGCGATAGAAACTCGCCAGAGAAAAAATCGCTAGCGGCTGGTCGTTCTCCACGTGGCGACGAATTCGAGCAAGGTGCTCTGCACGGTCTCGCGCAGCCGGAGCTCGACAGAGAGGACATGGGAGTTCGTCACAAGGAATCCTTTTATCGCACGACTTGCAGAGAAACCGGCAGCAGCAGGCGCGAAGGACTGGCATCACATTCACGTCCCAGTCCTCGCAGCAGATCGGGCATGCCCGCGACCCGAACCGCGTCGACTCCGGCTCCGGCTCCGGGTTCTCCTCGCGCAGCACGCGCGCGGCCTCGTGTTCGGCGGCGATGCGCGCGCGGACCTCGTCGGCGTGCGAGCGCGGCGCGGGGCCGTAGAACACCTCCTCCGGCGGCGACGGCGGC